CGTATACGTCTGGCACGTGTATACCCAATCTAAACTTCTTGCCACCTCAGCTGGAGAAATGGCGTTTACGTGAGTCTATAGGACTCGGGAAGCCGCTCCGACCGGTGCCGATAGGACAAATTCTAGAAGCCATTAAAAGAAGATAGAGCGTCTAAGCGATATTTCATTTGCCATTGTCATTTGTCATGTAACGTAAGCATACGAGAGAAAATCCAATATTTTTTTCCGCCCAGATATTTGTCATTTACCTTTACTGTCGTTTGCGATTCGAATGTGTACATCAAAGAAAGACTTCCTCATTTTATTGGCAATACTGAGATGCTGTGTTTACTGATGGCGCTCAACAAAGCGATCTCTGCCCTCGATTCTCCACCAGCCCTCCCACCACTAGTCTACCATCAAACATAGCCTAACTCACCCTTCAGTGCAATTCAATTTGGAAAACCCTCTGTTGTACGTCTTTGTTCTCTAAGAATCCTATATTTCCTCCTCTTTTGTTTTGTTACATTTCTTTTTATCTGAGGAGCGGAGAATTTTTCCTTCCAATTCATAAATCTTCCTTGACGCTACTTCAAGTGCATTAGGTATACATAATATGCTGGTTTATTTGAGATATTGCCATGTGATAAAATTTCTCAGTGTTGAATCAACTGTTCCAGTGAAATGTATAGGGTTCGCTCGAAGAAATATTGTGAAAGGAAATTTGGAGGAAATTTTGATAGGACCTATCGTACCTGATTTCTAAATCCAATTGTAAAAAAAACTGCTTCCATGCCCGATTTTACATCTTCAGGAAATTCTAGCTCGTACTTTATTCATAATCAGGCCGTCTCAGCTGAATTATCACTCAGGATGATGCTGTATTAAATTAATTCAATAGAATTTCCTGTTTCCAAGGAACGGATGATGAATGTGAAGGAGGAAGTGCTTCAAAGAGAATCTGGTCCTTCCAAAGACATGATAATTATAATCATAGAGTAAGGAATACCATCGCGACCATTAATTATTCTAATATTTGGGGAACAATCCTCTTACACAATTTCTCTCATCGACTATCCTCAAAGCGATAGCTATAGACTAGATGCCAGTATTTGCAGGAGTCTGCAGTTGACATCAGTGCCACCACAATTATATGAGCGGCAACATGTCTGACTTGCCTCAGACCAAGAAGCCTCTAAAAGGCCCCGTAGTATCATTACCCCCCGCAACGATGAAATGTAACTACAAATGATACAGAACATTTAAGCTCACTATCTCCTCGAGCTATACGATACGCCAGGGCTTGAACGTTACCAGATATTTACTCTGTCAAATATTTGCCCGAGGAAAGTGCACGTGCCACATTTAGATAGAGCATAAAGGTTAAAGCGACTCAACGGCTGGGTTGAGAATTATATTACTGCTGAAGGGACATCTGAATGAAGAGAAATGACCCCTTCTCCTCGCTGAATCGAACTCAATCGGATGAAACAAGGGGTTACGTTGATGGATTTCTAATGAAGTAGTTCATCTGTCATTGTGGAATACAGACGGTGGAGTTAAGCGATTTAGATGAAGAAGAGGGCCGGGCGGAGTAGGATGGGGACTGAAACAGTAGGGCTACCGGTAGCTTCTTCACGAGAAAACAATGGATCCATCTGCATTCATGGCTCCCCATTACTCGATCAGGACAATCTTGCTCGTGTATTGACTTTGTCTTGATAAGTTAGTTTCGGCCTCGTCACCATAATGGAATTCTTACTTTGGTTTCGACAAAATTTCCAAGCTCTGTTGAGTTGTTGCCATCGCCATTGCATTCGTCGCACTTTTTAATCTATTTACACCAACGTTACATCGCACGAGCAAGATACAAGTTTATCCCGGGCACGTGTTTCATGTACCAACTAGACAGCTGAGTTAATGGCTCATGAGGTAGATAGATAGCACCTAATGAAGGAAAAGGATTATCAAGAATCCTCGTTGCCACCCGTAGGTTTCAGTTTCCTCTTGGAATAGGCAATCGACTGCATACGAAATTGGTCCTAACCTCTATTACCAAAAGCTAAACCGTTTAACGTCCACAATCATGATATCATGTAGATAATAATGCGTTAAGCTTGTCAGTTGCGTTCGTGATACAAATCGCCATGTAATTGGTAAACCAGATGTGTCTGTCGAAGTCTTCTGAATGAGAATAGGATAGAAGATGGAATGTGGAAATTGGGGCAGAAGGAGAATGGAGGCTCGTTCGATACGATCAACAAATGAGCTTCAACCACTGGGAGTCGGAAGCCCATTGACAGTCATTCCACGTACAATTAACCGATCGGTGGGTTTATACGAGCTACTGGAGCAGTAGAAGCCAATGGCATTCCTCTTTCTACCTGTCTATGGGAGCACTCTTCATCAAGCATATGATGATAACGAAGCGGATTCACGTTCAATGAGATGACCGATCCGATAACATTATAATCAACGTGATCAAAGCTATCATCAGTTTTCATTGGATCTCATGTGACCGGTCATTTGCTATTTAGCACCGATGCCAAATGGAATGCCAGTGATTGAAATCAGGATATCTTTTGATTTTATTCAGTCATTTGTGACGGTGATACAACGACAAACCATCAACTCCGTTAGGACATGGAACCATTAGACGTTTTGAATGCATGTCTCAATACCCTGATCGAGACACCAAGAACGACTTTGATTTGGGAACACAAACGTCTTAAAAGAGGAGACAAAAGTGTCTCAACTTCAGACAGTAACCTTTCTCGTGTATATGGGTCACTCTCTCAGACATTTAAAGAGGAAGGAAGGAAGAAGGAAATGTGATATTAACAATGCTAGTACCTCACAATGGTGTTGTTTACTTGGTGAACAATGGACTCAGCGTGAGGTATCAATTTCCTGACGCGGTGACTATGGATCTTTGCATTGGCGGCCCGGATCAAGTCACCATACAATTGGATTCTTGGCGTCATCAAGCTAATTCGTAACAAGAGAGGAACGAAGCATCAGTTCGGGTGTAAGTTTTCACTAAGTCGCATCGCTGCATTTCATTATAGTCGGCTCGTGTTGAAGTGGTGAGGGACACTACCTCGATGCATTGTGTGACATGCAAGCGAAAAGAGGCCGACCGTTGGGCTACATGAGAAGAATCATCTCGCGTTTCAGTATGTGGATGACAACGTTCCCGATACGGGTAACAGGTAGGGGAATCTATATTAGAAAATTCCAAATCCACTTCTGCGTTCAGAATTTCGTACGTCGAACGCCTGCAAGGGTCAAGTAACATTAATAAGGGTCAGAAGGGTCATATAGGAGTGATGTGAAGGTCACTTCAGCTCTATTACTTCAGAAATTAAAAGACAAATATCCGGCGTATAAAGCCCAGGGGTAGAGGAGCTCTCTGACATCACAGATCGTTTTACAGGCTATCAAGGTTGCAGGATATTCCGTAAATCCCCATAGAAAAGTCGTATTCCCAGTATATACTGGTCTTCGGAAAATCCTATCCAGCCAAATGGCCCTGACAACGTCAGCTCAGACAGATACGAAAGAGAGTAGAATTGAGAAAAAGCAGGGAGAAATGCTGAAAAGATGAACAAGAACTTGGACAAATAAATTTGATGCAGCGAGGAATGTGACTCATGTGTTCTCAGTCGTTACCATTCCCTCCGAGATGTTATCCCCACCCCCGGTCTTTTGTGCAATTTTTCTTTGTCCCCTGTCTTTCCGAGCAAACGAGCTACAAGCAACCACAACCGATATGGCAAGTATCATCGACTGTGATTAGAAGGGCCCGGAAAATATGATCCGTCATGACCATTGGACTCGAAATAACCTCTAATGTCTCATCATCGATTTTACATGGACATAGTTTTTATCGGAATGTATATTGCCTACGCATTATCCCATATTCGTTCCTGGTTCCTCTCATCCTCGGATAATAACACCACAGAATCATCTTCTGTCTGCGCCAGTTACACGAGTGGAATGTGGCCATTGGAATTTCAAGAGCTGGGGTTTGCAACTAATGGGAGTGAAGTAGGTACACCCGATTAACTCGGGATGAATCACTGGACGTGGCGTTAAGGAATGGGCTGGGGTCAAAGGATTGGGCGAGGGAACACGTCAATGTCAGAGGGAATCTGATCTTAGTTAGCTGATGAGGTTGATGTCCTATTACAAGTTGGACTCGATGTTGAAACATTGATAGAACCATTCCAAACCATTAGTCAGCAGTTGCTGTAAACAATAATCCTCAGATCTAAAAATAATATCCCTGATATAGTTCCATATTTTTTCTCGGAATGATGTGGAATTTTGTCACGTTCAGGTCATCAACACTTCTGATATTCGAGTCCATAAAAGATATCGATTTTGTCGAATGGCGCTGCTATTCCTTCATTATTTTATGGCAGTTGATTCCCTGGCGTTCATTTCCCGAAGCCCGAATAGAGGTTTTTATTTCCAGAGAAAATTGCTTGACGCAGGTAACTCTTTAAGAACATCGCATACCTGCAGAATGTCATATCTTCTCACCGTGAAATTAAGAAATTTCTCTTAAAACATAGAATTTTTCTCGTTCGCGTGTGCTCTGTATACGTCGGCTCGTACAGGAAATCCGAAAATATAAACTCGGATCACGAAGGGAAGTAATTTTCCACGTGATGACGGTCGTGTGGAACGATCTTTTTGGAAAGAACGTGGAGTAGGTTTGCGTCGAGTAGAAGGAGCGAATGTATCCCAGACGAAAAAAAAAACGTAGCCCGATGAAGGGGTGTGGCAAATAGTAAAACTTTGGCCCACACGTTCATTAGATCGAAGTTTACCCGAGGGTAATCTTTTTCATCCGCGCCGAAAGTGCCAGAACGTTGGCAAAATTCAGAGGGGTCACGCAATTTGGTGATGGTGGTGATGAAAGCGTCAAGATTGGAATAGTGAAATTGTTATAGGAACTAAGGGGTAAGTATGGGAGATTGGAACGTGGAGTTATTAAGCTTATATGCATTTACCTCAATAGTGTTGAGCTTGAAAACAAATTCCACTGGGGGCTTGGATGGTGCAACACTGCAATTTGCTTTGAGCGTGTCTCCAGGATCATAACGGCTTCGTTCGGTCGCGATGACGGGTTTACCTTTTGGCAGAGCTGAAACAGAATAATTTCACTGGTCAAGTACAATTAGTGCGGGTAGATAAACGTCATATGTGAAGCTCTGAAAAGATTTCTGAGTGGAAATTTACATGAACAAAGGGATCATTATACCGGATTTTCGAGCTGGCGTGGGTTATGAATGGAATCTCGGTTCTGTTCTGATATCACTCTGAATTCTATATTCAGAGCAGCTTTTTTCTAGATCAGGTTTTTGTCCTGATCAGGTTTTGGAATCGAGCGAACTCAGACCTTTTAGAAAAAACGTCTGTATTTTATCGAACCATTCATGATTAACTGTTTCGATTATATATCGATGGAACCTGATTAGGTCTGATCAGAAAAACCTCGTAGCTATCTATTTTATACCTGATCAGGCTACTTCAACCCAGGTTCCTTAGAAATCACACCTACCCTACAACTTTCGTACCTCATCCGGTTCAATAGACAATGTGTTATCAAAACACCCGATCCGTCACCCTTGTTTCGTAATTATATCAGCAAACCGACTAACAATAAAACAAATTCCACCTCAATAATTCGTACACACAAACTATTCCCACAAACTCCCAACGATATCTATTCACCAACGAATATAGACATAACCCAACTGAAATCCGTGTTACATCTCGAATTACACTCTTTATTGGAGGAAGAGGAGGGAGATCACCAGGTGAAACTCAAGGTGATTGTAACATCTGAATATACCCACCCTCCAGTCGCCCCCTGCCCGCTCCCATATAGTATCTCATACCCGCTCACGTTTCCCTTTAGATTTCATACGTCGTTTAAGGTACGAGTTTCACCCTAGTTTTCGAATGAAATTGCTCTGCAGTACTCTGAATCCCCTCGAAGCCTTGGAAATTCGTAAATTTCTCTCATTGCCAATCCACACTAGCAAATGAACTTGCGATTCGCGGAACGATAGGACAATTAATCGAATCGGGTTACTAGTTACCCCCTGTGCGATCGGGACCTTTGTGCCTCGAATATCCAAACGGCATACAACTCGAAATAGGTTTTCTCAATAAACGAATATCCAAAAAAGAAATTTAGACAGTTAATTTTTTTTCTCCATTCTACCTCGTGTTTCTGAATTGAGACACAGAATCCAATCGTTTTACGCAAATACCGATATAGCTCAGGATCGGATTGAAAAGTAGGGACTAGTCACAGTGATGTATTCCCTCGTGGTTAATGCGGTCGATCGTCTCGATGTGCTGGCGTCACGAGAGAAATGAGAAAACTCTACAGGCTTCGTGATCCTTTGAGAAGCTTCTTGGCTTGTCTGTGACCCTTTCCAAACCTGCATGGGGGGAGGGGGATAGGGGTTGGAGCGCCACGGAGTCATGGCAACACAACCACAGGGCCCTTTATCAAGAAGCAGGTAATGTAATCTTTGGTGAGGATCAGCGTGAAGCAGACTCCAACGTGTCTTTTCCACTTTGTTCTGTGTGGACAGGAGGAGGGGGTCTCGTTATCGTTGCATGCTGATTAAAACTTTGTTGTTAGCGACAAAGGTGGAGTTTCGCTGATGAAATTTATTGATGTTGACGGCTGATTAAGTGCGGAAAGTTGTACTCAATGAATGTCGATTATTTTGAGACAGTTCTAATGATGATTGATAGATTTGTCCAGTGGGAATTTTGGTGAGGTAACCTGATTATTAATTACTTGGTGAAAATTTTCGGGTCGGGTATTATTATTTTAACACTTTTGTGATGAGTACAGATTTTCAATGAACAGATCTGAATCGGTCGAGATAGATAAACCTGATCAGGTTCCGAACCGAAAAAATCAGGCCATTTGTGTTAGATTGTCTCCTGACGCGGGTCTCATTAATATAGCCTTATCAGACAATACCTGATCAGGTTAGAACTAGATTTAATCGACCTGATCAGGTTAGAACTAGATTTAATCGATCTGATCAAGTTGGAACTGAAGTAATTCCCACATAATCAGGATCAACTCAGAATTTTACTCAGCTTTGCTGGTCATTAACAAACCTAATCAGGTATTGAGAGGCAATCAGATAATATTTCTGGCGTTTTATCTGAATAGAGAATTATTACCATGACCTGATCACGTCAGGTATTCACGAACTAGACGGGATCCGTTAAAACCTTATTGCTCCCGCTAAATCAGAATAAGTGTATCCCTTTTCTGAACATTCCTGATCTGATCTCATAATCAGTAAACCTGATCAGGTACCATAAAATCGGAAATAAGGTACTACACATCCCTCTCCGACTCATTGATAGGCCTTATTCTCCTCTCATTTTCATAGTTTTGATTTTATTCGACTGAACAGGCCCAGAAAAAACAAACATTAAATATTACTTACATACAACCCTCAGCTTCTTGATGCTCTCCTCCGTGGAGAATGTTGGTGCATCAGCCGTCACTTCGCAGCTAAAATTCCCCGTTAGTCCATAATCTACATTCATTACAGTCACCTGCTCGTGATCGGAATTATTACGCTGAAATATGGAAGAGTAGAATAACCCATGTTAATCTGTTCACAATATAAATCAAATATTCATTTTTTTTTCAATCGTTCGTTATTGAAATTTTACGCGAATCAAATGCTACCGTATTTGCGATACTATTCATGGATTGTCACGGAGCTTACACTCAAGCCGATTGCAAATAATCCAGGGGTATTTGCGCAAATCGTGTGGCAAATAATGATTCACAGGTTTCGGTTTAAGTGCCACAGGTGCAAATGGTGAATTGACAAACTCTATTTCATTTTACGATAAATAGTGTAATGTACACCAACCGAAGATGTATGAATACCGCGAAGTATTCATACATTTTTAACTCATTTAATGATACTCATGTTGATACCTACATGAACTGTTATTCCAGTTATATTGAATACTTTAATAGGCGGTGTTTCTGACGGTGAGTAGCGATAAAATTCGTGCTTTCCACGATACCACTTTACTGAATAGAGTGGTTCGTTCTCGCGTTCGTAATGACAACGTAGAGTTACTTCGTGACCACGTTCAACCACCTCCGGTATCATTTCCAGTATCACATTCCGCAGGCTGCTTACACCTTTAAACGAAGAAAAGAGATTCATTATGAGTACAATGTGCGTAGAAGAGAATATTTGACTTTAAGCGGAAATGATAAAAGTTTTTAGAGCACAGAAAATAGTCCGTTGAGGCATCAGGTATAGTTTTCTGTCTTCAGGATTCCCTCATGATCGAACCTGATCAGGTCGGAAGATCGTCTTAATTGAATTGGGATCCTTGTATTTTTATCATATCCCGGTCATTGTTTTCTGAAGATTCTTCATTTATTCAAGATCGGAAAACCTGATCAGGTACAGGCAAAAAGCGATCACGAATCAATCCGAATTCGAATGTTTTTCTCGCTTTGTAAATTAGGTATCAGGAATCATTTTTTAACATGAACCCCATTTCCATTCTCCCTCGTGATACAGTTTAACGGAAAATAAGCAAAAAAGACGAAATGCAAACAAATTCGACAGGCGACGATGCATTAAGTCCAGTGTGCATCATTATACCGATTTTACTCAGTCACAACGAATGTCGAGAGTTGTGAGCGTCAGCGAGAAATTGCAATTCAGGCAAATGACTTTCGTGGTATTCTCTCGGTAATGTCGGTTTTCCGTTTTCCGCACGCGCTATCACTCACACCTCTTCTCGCTTGTATGTACCCCACTCTTCTCAACTCCACTGATTCTTCTCCCATTCAATACCTACGCGTTTCAAGCTCAAACCACTTTGCCACTGCTAACGTACGAGATTATTCCGCTCATAGAGGCCTAGCTGACTCGCACTTGTATTATCGACATTGTCGTATTCGTTCAATATATGGTTAAGGCGAAAAGAATTGCAACCGTGATTGAAATTCTCAGCCGAGTTTTTTTCCACCGTGTCGACTTTTTCATCTGTGTGATATGACAAATCGAACATGCTATTCACGTCAAAAGTAATGCATATTACGTGGGGTATTAGTATTCATGGAAGGGTATGCCAGCGGATATCAGTGCGTTCGATTTTTTCCGACGGCGAATTCGATAATTCAATTGGTGTTTTTTAATGCTTGTAGAAAGCACTTCATCAACATCTGGCAGATCCATCCTGGAGCAGTAATTGAACATTTGTTTTGATGCAGGTACGGACGCCTGATCAGACACCGCGAATTAAGTATCAGCTCAGGATTAGTCTCGGGTTTCAACCTCATTGGTCTGATCAGGTCGTGTGTTCATGAATTAGTCCTGATCAGATTGGGAAATCATTGCGCTGACCTAATCAGGATAAGATCAGTTATTTGAATTAGATCCTGATTAAGGGACCACAGAGATGACCTGATCAGGTAAGATATATGTAAGTCGCGCCTGATCAGGATGATTAACGTTTGTATGGACCTGATCAGGACCAATACTGCTCCTCCCAGAGCACTTTTGATACGACTAACATGTAGAAATCCGATCAGAATTTCGTACGGATTTCGTACTGAAGGGGTCAATACGATCAGGTACAATATATTATCTTTTGATTCGGACCTTATTGTCATGACTTGAGCAGGCCGGATTTTATGGAATGCACTTGATCAGGCATCAAAGTGATACGCAGATCATGGATTGGCAGAAATGATTTTTTTTTACCTTTTCCAATAAAAAAATAGATCCCAAAGCTCTTCGACACCGAATCGATACTATTACCGAATTTTAAAAATTTCCTAAGGCTCATTAACATCTGACAAAGACCAATCGCGATAACCAACACTTCCACCATTTCTAATGGGAGGAATTTAATCGATACGAATAATAATAATGGTATGATAAATAGGACGACTCCCGAATCTATCCCCACTCCTAATGAGTGATTAAGGGACGAGTGACTGACTGGCTCAGTCCCGCGTGAGCCTTGAAATTCTATTGACCACGTTTTATTTCATTATATTGAAGCCACCAGTTAATTTTAAAACCTAAATTCATTATTCATTAATTAGTTCTTGAGAAAATTATACACTCTTACACATTTCTCAATGACTTTGAAGGATCCCAAGAAGTACGTTTGAAATTCTTCAGCGCGAAATCCAATGACAACTCTTGTTGAGGACATAAACGTGAACTGTTGAGTCTGCAACTTACGATTCAACTGGATGGTGGGTCTCACCCAACTTTTCGAGCAGCAGTTCAACAGAAAACTTTTCCGTTTCCGTATGACTTCTTTATTTTTTAAAATCATCGGGAAAGGAAAGAAGGTCGCTTACTTATTTCGTGACGTCATCGAAATGTCCTTCAGAGACAGATGTGGAAATTAAATTTATGCATTCTTTGCAATAAGAAAGATGGAAGAATCCTATATCGAGTTTCTTGGAGGCTGAAGACTCAGCGCATCTAATTGTATTCTTTTTACTTTTCTCCCCTTTTATGAGTGACGTTGCGCTATCCTAGGGACGTCAGTTTCTCCATCGTTTGAGCGTTAATTTTTTCTCCTTCCGTCAATTGCCCCTCCCTTCTCGAACAAGAGGAGAAAAGAAAACATGAACGTTGCACTGGAAGGGGGATAGGGATGAGGCTGTGAGAAAAGTGCGAAAGTTTTAATAGCTGCTCTTACCTCAGTATTTTGAAATATACAGAGGAACCGGTTTATGAGATATTTTCCTGAGTCAAGCCAACTTGTTGAATTTTTTTTTCTCGCCCCTCCTCACTGATGAACATTAAGGGAAAAAAATTGAGGGGTCCGGAAATTAACGGAAACGATAAATCTATGGTGAGAAAAAATAATACAGGGTAGACGCTATGCTCTGAGGCTATTATTGCTGCAACATCGGGGTTAGTGAGAATTGCTTTATAGATTGATCCTGATGATGCAAGTGATTACAGCCACAACACAAAGAAATTGATAGGCCAATTAGACGCTAGTGTAACACCTCTGAAGAATGTACAAACAATATTGTCTTGTTCATTTATACTTTTCTGAATAATTACGCCATCACTTTGTGATGCATTCATTCGTAACTCCCCCCGTCCCCTCCTCTCATTATTTGCATCGTGTAGAAACACATCTGCGTGGAGTTTCAAAGACACGAATTCAGGATAGTTACTGGAGATAGAATATAGCAGGTGCCTGGGATATAGTTTTACAGCGCCCGCATCTGCAATGTCTCGGTGGAAACTACCCCATAAGTACTTGCATATCCAAGCCTCATTATTTTCATGGGATTCGTGAGACAACAGAGAAGTTAAGTACCCGAGTCGAGGATTTGGTTCTGATTGGACGTACACAGGTCTTTCAAGATCTCTCCAGACCTAGATGGACCTGGTAAGTCCTAATCAGTTCTGCGACGTACTTTTCCAGAGACCATTCGAATCCTCAGTTCTTTTCGGTCCTGAGAAGTCCTCCTCGATGCTACCGAGAACGCGTGATTTTACGAGCGGGTGAAGGGGAAGGCATGTATGCGGAGGGTTGAAATTTGTAGCCAACGAGGAGACAGGGTTGCAGAATA